CATCTGTACACACGGTTTTTTTTTTTTGTTGGTCATAAGGTTTTTTTTTCTTCTCAAAGTTAAAGATGTTTGGCAAGTTTTTAGAATGAAAAAAAATAATTTTAAGCAGAAGTAAAAGCATTTTTGAGAAATAGAAAAAAATAATTTCAATCCAAAAGTACTTTTTGAAAAGTATTTTTGACAAAGATACACTTAGAATCACTTTTTAAAAGCTTGACCAAATAGTAATCGTTGCTCATAAGTGGCAAATAAATAAGTCTAACACCTACATTTTTGAAATGTACTTCAAAAAAAAATACTTTTCAAATTTAGCTTCATTTTAGAAGCTTGACCCACATATTTTCAACAAGAGGTACTTGGCAAGATTTTTCGATCTGTACAGAAAAAACATGTAAACATTCCAAAAATTGCTATAAATTCGTAAACTGCCTTTCTGAAAAGTAGTATGGTCTCTTTTCTTGTGTTATTTCTTATCTGTCAGCTTCAATCATTCCCTCTATGGTAGATTTTCCAAGAACCATAGTAAGCCCCCAAGTAAGCACAAGGAAAACTCTCGGCTACAGATACTCGACTTCACAAAATTGTCTTCAAAATTTATAACAAAGGGTTCATTTTATGATCGAATATATAATTGTATACGGTCGAAATCGGGCATACCCAATTTCGTTGGCAGGGGAGTTGCCTCGAGGGTAACCTCATAATAGATCGGGCTCGACCTCGAAGATAGAACATCAAGCCTGGAGATCGAAGTGTTCATTGAGATTGAGGCCATCAACAATCGAGATCAAGCATGACTGACTTCGAGTAAGGCGTAATAACGGAATGGCGAGATATCAGTAACCGGTCGAAGATCACGGCGAAAATTTCGGAATAGATCAAATTAAAGCGGTTATTAGTGCAAATCATGGGATCTACTTCCGTTATTAGAGTTGTACCTTATTTAGGATTGCTCTATTATATAAAGAGGGATTCCATTCACTTGTAGGGAGGACAATCATTATTCACTCATAAGAATATACACATACGCTGCTTTCTTTGTTTTACTTACCGTTCATCGCTGTTTGTTCCATCCTCTACTGTTCTTATTAACTAACTTCGAGACTATCTCGAATCGAGGTCGAAGCATTGTTTGCAGACCGGTTTGATTTATTTTATTGTCTAATTTATCTATTTAATTCGTTGTTTATCAATTGGTACTTGTTTAAATCACATATCCTTAAAACCACAATATAAGTTTAATTGTTACTCAATTTTTAGGGTAAACAGTTTGGCGCCCACCGTGGGGCTAAGGATAATAGTGATTGTTCAGTACTGATTCTGGTAAACACATTATTTTATGCTTGTTCTTGTCAAGTATCTTTGCTTTCAGGTTAAAACATGTCAAACTCACAAAACGCATCCACACACGGTGACAATGGCCTCAGATTCCACTGTCTTAAGTTGAGCGTCAACTCCAAAGTATGAAGGAGGAGAACTTGGCCCGAGCCACATCTTTCTCCGAGGCGAGACGGTCCATGTTCTGCTTCCACCTCAAAGTCTCTGCCTCTTTCATCTTGGCCTCCTCACGAAGCTGCTCAACCAATTCGGCCTTCTGCTGAACCTGCAGGATCAAAGTGTTAGTCGCCAATATCAAGTTAACGCATAACAAGCTCCCAAAATTTACATTACCCGATTCAATGAGCTCGGTCTAATCTTGATGAGCTCTTGTCAGCTCGGCTCGAATACTCATGATCTCCTCTTCTTTTTGCATAACGAGGAGTTTGAGGGCGTCTCTCTCCTTCGTAAGCTTTTTGAGATCAGCCTCACATCGGGCCAGCTTAGCTCGGTATTTAGAGGACGCTTCTCGATGGAGCGTCGTAGCCTGTACAGAAAAGGAAGAAAATCACACATAGAGAAATAAGAACAAACGCAAGCATGGTAACATGGGCTAAAACTCACTTGGTTCAGAAGCCGCTGAGCCTCATAAAAAATGAGTGATGCGTCTAGGTCGGGAACATCATCGACCCCCGCGAAGCAGCGACGAAATATATCATCCCCTTCGGGGGCCGTCCCCACATCGGGGGTCCCCATGGACCGGGCATCCCGAAACTGTCCCTTAGAGAACGTGGGTCCGGGCGGAGAATCATCAATGTTAATTGCCCCGAGCGAGTCACTTGGGGCATTCTCTTCTCTTTGAAGGGCCTCAGAACTAGACCCTTCAGGCACATCCGCCGGTTGCTCATCATGGCAGGAGGCATCATCAACACCCGATGACTCGGGGACTCGGCTCGGACCTTCCTCCGAGATCACCTCGGTCTGCGACTGAACCTCCTCGACCGTCACCGGCTCAGCAGTTCTCGAAGATTCGATGCCTTCCCTCTTCCGAGCCACCAGCAGGCATCGGCATCTTCTCCCTCCTCGTCTTCCTCTCGTAGCATTTGGACTACATCGACAAATAGAATGGCGAGATCAGTCTTCGACTTTTGAGCCCTGCTTTTCCTGGGATTTGGGGTATCTGGAGGCGAGGCCCTTCTCCTTTTCTTGTCTTTGGTCGGCTTCGAGACCTCCTCTTCCTCGGGGGGAGGCGACCTCATGACGACATTATCTTCAGGACCTGTATGAGAAGAAATCAAGTTAAAAAGAAGTATTTCACAGGAAAGCATCAAACATGGACAAGGGAACTTACCATGATTTTTGGCCTCCCATCGACCCTTGGCCAAATCGCCCACGAGCGCTCAACATACGAAGAGGTTGAAATCAGTTGTCGAATTCAACCTGCAAGGTCCAGGACTGCACCAGGAAACCAGGGGGAAACTGCACCATAAAGAAGAATATAGATGAGAAGAGGTAAAGAAAACATAACAAGTAATCAAACGTTATTGGTGAGGTTCTACTTACGCTTCATATTCCATTCTTCGGGGAATGGCAACTTCTCGGTGGGGATTAAGTCGGAGGTCTTGACTTGGACAAACTGGCCCATCCATCTTCGGTCCTTGTCCTCATCTATGCTGGAGAACTGCACCTTCGTGGCCCCGGCGCTGAAGCCTTATCAGTCCGCCTCGATAAAGACGGGAGCTGTATAGCCTAATGAGATGATCGAGGGTGAAAGACATCCCCTCGACCTTGCTCGAGAAGAATCTGATCAAAATGACAATGCACCAAAAAGAGGGGTAGATTTGGCCTAGGGTTACCCGATATTGGCGGCAGAAGTCGATTATAACAGGATCGACGGAACCCAGTATGAAAGGGTAAGTATACATACTTAAGAACCCTTTCACATGAGTGGTGATGTCCTCCTCGGGGGTAGGAATCACCACCTATTTATTCTCCCAGTGACAGTCTTTCTTCACGTGCTCGAGATCGCCTTCGGATATCGAACAGATGTATCTAGACATGGGCTCGCATCGGCCAGGAACCGAAGAGGGTTTTTCGACTTTAAAGTCGGAAGTAAGTTCACATGACCCGGGGATGCACTCTTTGATACGTGGCTCCATCGGTGTTTTGCCACCAGCCGGCCGCGATGAGGAGGCCTTTTCTTCTTGAGGAACGGTCTTTGATGTTTGTGCCATTGCTATATGAGGTTTAAGGAAGAAGAAGGCGGAATTTGTGTTTTAATAAGAGATTGGCAAATGGAAACCGGCAAAGTTGATGAACTTGAAGAGAATAGAAGAGCTTTTGAAGATTAGAAGAACTTTGAAAGTAAAGTTTGAGAAGATTATGAAGGTGGTCTATTTATAATAGCCGCTTTGATGGTTTGAAAGCAGCGGTGACCGACCATCAACTGGCGTTAATTAATGACCTTGGGAACTGTGCAGACGCGACGCTTCAATCGCTTCTGTCGCTTACGTCACGATGTTGACGTCATAATTGATCGAGGTATTAAATCGAAGTCTCGAATTCGTTTCTTCTCGTTACACTCCAAAAAACGAGGGGACTGTCTGTATACGGTCGAAATCGGGCATACCCGATTTCGTTGACAGGGGAGTTGCCTCGAGGGTAACCTCATAATAGATCGGGCTCGAGCTCGAAAATAGAACATCAAGCCTGGAGATCGAAGTGTTCATTGAGATCGAGGCCAACAACAATCGAGATCAAGCATGACTGACTTCGAGTAAGGCATAATAATGGAATGGCGAGATATCAGTAACCAGCCGAAGATCACGGTAGAAATCCCGGAATAGATCAAATCAAAGCGGTTATTAGTGCCAATCATGGGATCTACTTCCGTTATTAGAGTTGTACCTTATTTAGGATTCCTCTATTATATAAAGAGGGATCCCATTCACTTGTAGGGAGAACAATCATTATTCACTCATAAGAATATACACATACGTTGTTTTCTTTGTTTTACTTACTGTTAATTGTTGTTTGTTACATCCTCTACTGTTCTTATTAACTAATCTCGAGACTATCTCGAATCGAGGTCGAGACATTGTTTGCAGACCAGTTTGATTTATTTTATTGTCCAATTTATCTATTTATTTCGTTGTTTATCAATTTATACTGGTTTAAATCACATATCCTTAAAACCACAATATAAGTTTAATTGTTACTCAATTTTTAGGGTAAGCAGTAATAATATAGAGAAGCGAATTGAGAATTGATAATTAATCGGTTTAGAATGAGTTATATATATATATATATATATATATATATATAATTCACACACAAGCATATATAGAATTTTTTGCATATATACTTATGAATTGATCGAGTTGAAAATAATGAGTTTTAAGTGAATCCGCTGAACTAACTTTGAGTAATACGATCTTGATGTACATAATCCATATACATGTATCAGTTTCGCATAATATCTGATATTAACATCAACAAAATTCTGATTATATCAAGGAATCGCCCCCACCCCAACCCCCACAAAAAATAATAATAAAGAATTAAAGAAAAAATTAACCTTTAGACTGCTGATCCCGAAGGATATAACCAATTATTAACAACCTCTAAATCTGTTACCACAACAAGATAAAGAAGAAGAAAAATAGGAGGAGATATTCAGAACAATATTAGTGGTCCTCTGGAATACACTCAAGGGTTGGCCTCCAACTTGTGCTACTTCTCATTTTTTCAGAAAATCCATCTTGAAATAATCTTCTTCTGCTGCTTCTTATTCTTCTACCTCTACTTTCTGACTTCATTTTCCGTAAGAATTCATCTGCTGAGGAATAATTAAACTGCCCATTCAATATTTGCTTCAACTCTTCTTGTGTCACCACTAGTCTAATTCTGACCACGTCTTTTTTCATCATTTCTTGACCCTCTTCTTTGTCTTCATCTACTCTAAATCTAACTGTCTTTCTTCTCTTATTAATGCTTTGTTCCTTTGCCTTTTCTGCTTCCTCAATTGGTGTCTCAACTTTCTGTTCAGCATGAACTAGAATATCAGCTTTACTATTTTTCATGCAATTTCCCATTTGGTTTTTTGGAGATATTTAGAAAGAAAAAAAAAAGATTGACTATAAGAGTTTATTTGAAGAGAAGAAGGGGTAGTGGAGGTTAGAATCTTGAAATATAAAGAGATGGAGAAGGGAAGGAGCACATGGAGTTGCCGGTTATTTCGCCTTGTTTTTGGAAGAACAAACACAATGCTTTATACATTTTTTTTTTGATACGGAGCCAAGATTTGAAGTTTATGAATTCAGAATTTTAGTCATTTTAGTTATTAAGTTTTAAATTAATAGTAATTCATATATATATTTAATTAATTTTTTAAAATAAATATAAAATTTGAACTAAAATTATTAAATTCGAACAACACACTAGTTCCGCCCTTAGAACTACCAAATAAGACTCCTTAATAAATTAATAGAAAGAGAAAGAGAGATTTGTTTAGTATATAAAAGTGAGCGAATATTCACTTAAAATCAAGTAAGAAATGCGGTTTTGTTAGCATCATATAACAAACACATGTTAAAAGGTTGGTCGAAGAAGAACAATAAATAAAATATAGGTATCAGCCTGCGGCGGTTGCAGTTGATCAAAATCACCACCTGTGTAGAGATCTCTTTATTATAAATGTAGGATATTTAATTCAACAAATTAGAATTGTTTGTGTCAGTCCAAAAAACTTTATATACTTTAGGTTATGTATTAAGACGCAGAGTACTATATATTTTCATCTTCCGGGATTAGTGTATTAACAGACAAATTAATTAGACTGCATTAATTTAACGATATTAATTTAAATTTATGTATGGACAATAGCTAGGTTTAGGTAGAAATCTGCAACTATTGGCTACTAAAGGAGTTGTTCCAAAACTTTCTAATTGAGTTGGCCACATTTTCCATTGACGTACAAGTTCTGAGTGACAACACGATAATTTGTTTTCTCATGCTTTGAATTATTTAGATACCCAAATAGCCGGCTAAAAAAAGTAAATATTGAATCTGGCGGGTTATTTGTGTAACAATCCCAATTATTTATCTCCAATGAAATGTAAAAAGTTATAAAAGAGCTGCTCCATATTGTTTTAGATCGATGTACCCTCTATATAAGTTGGTAATTATACCCATATATCTAGATCAAGGCAGAAATACGAGGACTTTTAGATGTATGGCGTATTTTCACGTAGAAATGACATCAGGTAGCTACTCTAAAGGGCTTCTATTTAGGATTTAATCAATGTATTCTCAATTTCAGTTTGCCAGTTTAATTTTTCGGGACAAAAATATCTTGTATATGAGATTTTAATTTAAATTTTTAGGACAAAATAGATATTGACTAATTCTTAAACAGCATCCCTAAGAATGGTTCTTTGTGCACTTCGTCCTATTTTCATGTCTCCTTGTGGATCATGGAATGTTAACGAAGGCTCGTCAAAATGGCAAGATGGAAGTGACAAAAAACTATAAGGATCTTACAATTTTCATATTTGATTTTTTTTCTTTTATGTTAATCATAAATATAATTTATTGCTTGATTATTACTATGATGATATTTCTTCAAATCTTTATAATAATTAAGTCCTCTAATCTAGTGGTCCTAAATTCAATTTAATCAATTTAAGCATATACCAATAGCCTCCTCCNAAGGACAAAATGGCATCTAACCACCTCTTCATAAATTAAGAGCACCTAAGATTCTTCCAATTACCACAGAAATCTTAATCAATTTGTGCTTATGACATTTAAAATCTAAAGATTTAACCTACAAGTCATATATTTCAAAATCTTCAGAGATAAGATATGCAATCTTAATTAATAGCCAAAGATCAAGATTCAATTTTGATGCTGCCCAACTAATTTTAGCATAAAATGAAAATACATGGTTTGAGGTTGCTTAGTACGGCCATGACATTATATTCAAAGATTTGAAATTAGGGGCATGTGAAGCAAATACAAATGTATAAATTGCAATAATGCAACGTAAAACTGAAAGAATTCCCGTGACTGAAGGGCGCAGTTGAAATATTAGGGGCATCAACCGCGTGAGAAGAAGTTTTTGTTTAAAGGCAACTTCACATGGGGATTAGGTACATACATCTCACTCTTTCTCTTTTCTAATTATTACTCCATCCGTCTCATATTATCAGTCGTAGTTACTAAAAATAATTATCTCAATTATTTGTCATTTTAGAAATTCAAAATAAAATTGATTATCTTTTTCCTTTTTACCCTTAGTAATAGTTATCCTTAGAGACTAGAAATACCTAACTTTGTTCAATTTCAATGAAGAAAAATTAAATATTAAGACATGAATAAGGGTAAAGTAGTCAAAATCTCATCCTAATTAATTATTCTTAAGGGACAGGTACAAGAAAATCATGACAGATAATATGAGACGTAGGAAGTATCGATTTAAGCTCAGCATAATACTACTACTTTCTTGCGAGATTTTGGAAGCTTCTTTCTTGCATGTGAAGCTGGTCACAATAATACAATTAATTGTTGCATCACCAAGGAAATAACGTGAACTTTTCGCCGGTTATCCTCTTTTGTATAAGCTGTTTTATAAATGTTTTTTTTTAATTGATGAACCTTTTAAACCATAGTTTAAAGATCCTTTTTTTATCAGACTGAAAATATTATGAAAAACGTTATGATTACGGCGTAAATTTTATAAATTATTGCAAACGGAAGATCACAGTCTAATATTTCGTGAGCAAATTGAAAATTAAATGAACAAATTAGACACGAATCTAACATTGTTCGAAGGGATAGTTTATTTACACTAACTTTTTAAAATACGTACAAATTCTGAACAATGACCTATAAAAGGGGGACATTTCGAAGCCGGAAATAAGCCAGTGGCCGAAGGACGGCAATTTGAATTGCGGTGCACCGAACCAAATGGGTCTTCAATAATAATTATTTGACTCGAGACGGAGACACTAAAGAGTCCTTTGGTATGATATATAAGGTAATTAATCATCGTATAAAAATTTGTATGAGTTAATACATTATTTGGTTGTGATTTCAAATGTTGGATAACTAATCCATGTATTATTTTATACACCAATTGATGTATTATCTTAATTCACTACCAATATGGAATAACTAATTCATGTATAAGTTGTATATGGATAAAATATCAAAAGGACAAAACTACCATTTGTCTTTTTTTTAAAAGCCTATGAAGATCAAATATCCAAGGACATAATTGTAAATTCACTATTTTTATTTAAAAGTGAAGAAAATTTAGTTGATACTTTGTATACTCAATTTTAGTGTAATGAGCCAAATATCCACCAAGAAATATTTATGTACTATTAATCCCCGTATTATTAATTAATTCCTGTACTATAATCCATGTATAAGTACTTGTTGTCGAACCAAACCTTTAAACATGATCTATAATAAGTAATATTAGTGCTACTATCAATAATAATAATGCTGATGGTACCATAAGCTTTTTCTAGATGCATGACGTTCAGTTTTACATATTTTTTCGCTTTTTAACAGCATGCAGCGATGGACGGGAATGCAACAACAAAACTTTCCAATCAAATACTTAGGTTGCCCTTTGTTTGTTGGAAGGCAACGGATTGCATATTACTCAGAGATGATCACTAAAGTAACTAGCAGGATAAGAGGCTGGCACTCTAGGTTATTGTCTCCAGGGGGTAAAGCTACTTTGATCAGACATATTTTTCTTGCCCTCCCTGTGCACCCGATTTCAGCCTTACAACCTCCTAAGGGTGTTCTTGTTCAAATAGAGAAATTACTGGCAAATTTTTTTTGGAGTTCTACAAATGGCACAGTTAGACACCCCTGGGTTTCATGGTCTAATTTATGTTATCCATGTGCGGAGGGGGGTGCGAATTTCAGGAGCTTACAAGATATATGTAAAGCACTCTCATCCAAGATATGGTGGAATCTAAGAATGGGCAACTCTATGTAGAGGGACTTTATGCTAGCCAAATACTGCAGCAGGTACCACCCTGTAGCCAAAAAACGTAGCACGGGGACATCACATAGTTGGAAACAGATGTGTAAGATCAAACATAAAGTAGAGGAGCACATGATATGGTTAGTGGGAAATGGTGAAGTATCGTTCTGGTATGATAATTGGACTTCACTAGGACCACTTTGCAAGTATCTGGGAGATGAAGCGAGACCCAAAGACATAAAGTTGAGGGACGTCTTCGTAAATGGTGAATGGAATGAGAACAACACTGGATTGACTTGGCCAGAATCCTTAAAGAATATCGTGCAAAATATGAATTTGGTCCTATGTCCTGACAAGCCGGGCAAACCAATATGGGTACCAGATAGCAGAGGAACCTTCACGACATCATCAGCATAGAACATATTTAGACACAGAAGGGGACCTTCTACTATGGATATTAGGATTTGGCATAAGTCAGTCCCTTTTAAAATGGCCTTTCTCACATGGAGAGCAATTCATGATAGACTATCTACGGGTGAGAGAGTATCCAGGATGGGTATTTCTTTGGTGGAAAGATGTTACTGTTGCAGATCACCAACCCCTGAAACGACCGAATATTTATTCTGCTTAGGAACTTTTGCAAAAACAATATGGTCTAATTTTTGTGCTCCATTTGGTATTTCTTGCAGGGATACTCACTTGTTACAATTACTTCACTCCTGGTGGAACCTCAGAGTTTTGAATATAGTAGCTTCTTTTATAGCCAAGATATTGCCGCAAATAATTATGTGGGAATTGTGGAGGTCAAGGTGTGCCAGCAAGTACGGCTCTGAGCTCCCTTCTATCCCAAGATCTATGGCTATAATCTCTTTCAATCTCTCATGTTTGGTTCAACAGAAATTCGGACAGTTACAGATGGAAACAATATGGGAAAAGCTGCAAAGAATTGTTGACCAACCTATTACTCATAGAATGTACAAAGTGGTGAAGTGGTCTAGACCTCCTCCTTTTTACTACAAGCTTAACAGTGATGGAAGTTGTGTGGAAGGGGCTTGTGGAGCTGGTGGAGTAATTAGAGACTGCAATGGAACACTTGTCATGGCGTACTCAGTATACTTTGGTCAAGGGACGAGCAATTGGGCGGAAGGGCATACCATGCTCTTGGGACTATAACATTGTATATCGAGAGGATTGGATAAAATAATAGTGGAAGCTGATTCAAAGGTGTTAGTTTCTGCGGTCAATGAAGAATCAAGCACACTATGGAGGCTGTTGCAAATTGTGAATAAAATCAAGCAGATTGTAAGTGAAAAAGGAGCAGCAGTAAAGCATTGCTACAGAGAAGCGAATAAAGTCGCAAACAAACTAGCATCAACAAGCCATCTCCACAAGCAGGCCATTGTATTTTCGGACTTTACTGGATTGCCGAGACAAATCAGAGGGTTGCACCAGCTGGATAGATGGGAAATGGCGTCCTTTCGAATCAGACAAAGGAAAATTTCAGAGATATATTTTGAACCACCTTAAGGTGTCCTGCTAGATAGTAGTCTATGTATTTTCTTTGTAGTAACTAGCAACAGAGCATGTGCACCAAACTAACAAAGATACGAAAGGGTCAGGTGAATGCCCCCATTCCCAAAATGTAGCAGCTCTTTCCACTCGTTAATAAAAGTTTTGATTAGTTAAAAAAAAAAACAAAAAAAAAACAGCATGCATAATCAGCAAGCAGGGACACGTACTGCTTTATGTCTGAATTGACTCTATCAAATGGTTTGATATTTCCAGAACTTGCAGCCAATTACGTCGCTTCATATTGAGTATCCTGGATTCGATCGATTTCTAACATTATACTTTATGTTCAATGTAGAGCAGCAAGTAGAGGCGGATTCAGAATTTCAAGAGAATGAGTGCTCTAATGTGAAGAGATTGATCTAAAATTTATATTTGACGTGTTTAACTTTAGACTCTTACTATGAACCACTACGCTTTTGAAATTATAGGTTCAAAATTATATTCTTTTTAAAATTTTAGTGATTTTCACGTATATATCTATACTCCGTACCAAAAATAAGATCGTCTGAAGTGGATTTGAACCGTCAATTTTACTCGTAGAGGTGCACCCAATAATTATTATACCATAGAAGTCTTTGAGCATGGGTGCACACACATATTTTTGTGAATTTTAAAGAAATGTAATATTATTATATATGATTTAGAGAGAAAAATATGGGTTCACGTGAACTCATATCCTAAGAACTAAATACGCCGCTGGCAGCAAGCACGATTAAGGGATATAGTGTTTGCAAACAGAATTTAGCCGTCCAAAATGGCATTGTTATGAAACAATCCGTGTCAGTCCAGTATAGTTATGTGTGTATTATCTGTCCAAGAACGTTAATGGATAAATCCTTTTCGTTCGCTGTAGCTATCTGAATAACGTTTGCACAAGCACTATACATAATTTGTTTTTTTGTGGAGTATCTTCTATGGAAAATCATAATAATAAGAGGGTCACAACACTCCATATATGATTTCGAGTCGGATAATCAATTAGCTTTTATTTTATTGGGCTAATATAATTTTTCATCCAAAAGAATTTGCAGTTATAAGATTTAATTTTATCTTCATTTTTAGACACATGCCTATTAGATCTTCCTACTTAATGGTTAATTGTTTGCTTTACGGGTTGTATCTGCAACTTAGTCATGTTATGCATATTCGATGTAATATATTACCCATCGACTCATTATGATATGTTCGAATTTCATAAACACTCATCATTATTCTAAGAAACTTAATAAAAGAAAAATATTTCCGAGAAGTTATCGTATTCCCTCCATTCCATTTTACAAAGATGTAGTAGTCAAACAACTTAATTAATTCTCAATGTCATTTCAGATATAAAATATTCAAATTAAGGTTTGGAGCATTACATATTTAAACTAAACCTACATAAAAAGGTACTATAGATCACAAAAATTAATAAGTACGTAATATATATAAGATTTATAAATAATAAAGAAAAAAAGGACAGTTCCTTAATTACGCACGGGACGGAAATCAGACGAAAGATGCTATATATGGAGGAAACACAGGTTCTTCTCCTCAAGCAATCCAATCAGTTTAAGCTACCTTTTATGGCAGAATGTCCGGCACGTGAGTCTAATCTTCATTTGAAAGCGAGAGCACGCCCAGCTAGTTAATTAGCCTCCTCTACTCCTCTCTCTCTCTCTGTGTGAACTTTTGAAACCAGCGCAGCAGTACGTATTTCACTGCAACAAAAGTCCACTCTTTTAGCTGTATTCACTAATCTTGAAAATACCCAGACTAATTATTAGTTAATTAAGCGTACAAAATACATAGTACTATCTATATATGTATGTTCATACTATGAAATACCAGTAACGTAATACATATGTGTTCAGTGTTTACATGTATACACACGCATTCTTTGCCGTTAATGTCAGCGATCAAAACTTGAAAAATGAGCACAGAGTCTCAATTTCTCCTGATTCAAGTCTCTCTAGTGTTGCTTTTCTGTAAGTGGTTTTCATTGATTAGCCATTGTTCAATGCTTGATTAGATCGATGTTGAATTGCTTAATTAAGGAAGAAATTATCTTGATGCAATGTAATGAATTGTACTTAATAAGAATTTGAGTCAGTCTAACCTTTCTAGAGTCATCAGCCATACATAATTGGGGTGTAAAGTTTTGAAAATGGATGGCATGCATTGTGTTCTTGAATTAACACCGAGTGGTGCTTTCTTGATATTTGGAATTGTTGATAACGAGATAAAGGAGCATACTTGGTTTAGTGGCTTTTGTTTTCTTCTTTCCCTTTCTTGTTTTAATTAGATGCAGTGTTTGGTATTTGATTTTGCAAGTCAAAGTTGATCATATTTCCCACGTTGAGAACTAGGATTCCTATCTGTTCTAAAGGAGGCTTTCTCTAAATCAAGATGAGTTCAGAAAACAAATCTTGTGCTCTTGGAGGAGGAGGTGGCAAATAAGTGTAGAGAATTTCTTCTACTACTTCGTATCTTATTTCTTCTTAGAAATTTATGAGTGTAGTACGTGTCTGAACCCTCATATGCTGCGCTCTTGTTCTACATTGTGACTGTTAAACAAAATTTATCATCTGAACCTCACTCTCTTCGAAGAAAAATCCATTCCTATTGACAGGATCTACAAATTATGTTTAGACGTCCCTACTATTTTGGAACTAATATACGGATGTGATAAGGTAGACCTAGAGTGATCAGTGTAAGCGACGTGAGTAACTAATAATGCAGGTCACTTCAACATTTGGTGCATTAATAGCATTTGTGCATAAGCAAGTTGTTTATATTTAAGACGCCAACATGATGACCTCCGTGTTGGATGGAAAACAACACCTCGATGTGCATCACTAATTGAACTCACAGCCTTTTGGATTCAATTAGCGATGATAGATTTCTTCTGACTGATGTTCAATCATTTATGCGATCTCTATGAACTATGTCTCAGTTTCAGGAATTCATGGATCTCTGTGGAAGCAAGATAGTGATATTCTGTCCTCTGATATATTGAGTAGAACTCATTATGATGCCTCTCCAAACATCTCACCTAGCATTGCTCCAGAATCTATGTTGCCGATGCAAGCACCTTCACCATTGATGCCATTTACATATACTGGTGTGCCAAAGTTATCAGGTATGCAACATATAGACTGACAATACCTCATAGGGATTGTTTACTAAAAAATTCCAGTGAGTTGATATAAGCTGGTTACTGATGAATGGTGCTGTTTTTAACTTTTCAGGACATTGTGCATTCAATTTTTCAGCTGCAGACAGTATTTTGAGAACAACAGCGACTAATTGCTGGTCTTCACTTGCTCCATATCTTGCTAATGTGATATGTTGTCCTCAATTTGATGCCAGCCTAGTGGTTCTTGTAGGGCAGGCTAGTATTCAGTCACAAAGGCTCGCGCTGAACTTGACTCATGCTACGCACTGCCTTTCGGATGTTGAACAGATTCTTGAAAGTCAAGGTGCTAGTAAGAAGCTTCTTGAGATTTGTTCTGTGGATCCGTCCAATCTTACAGAATCCTCTTGTCCTGTTATAGATGTTAACGAAATCGAAAACAGTTTAAATACATCAGCTTTGCTGGTTGCTTGTGAAAAAATAGATCCAACTATTGAGTGCTGCAACCAAGTTTGCCAGAATGCTATATCTGCTGCAGCTGAAACTTTAGCTGCCAGGCATAAAAATGTAACAAGATTCAGTGGCTCCCTTATTTTGCCTGAGAAATCAAGTCTTATGAGTGACTGTACGAGCATTGTATTGCGATGGCTGGCCAGCAAATTTAATCCTTCTTCAGCTAATAGAATCATCAGAGCACTTTCAAGCTGTGACATTAACAAATGTAAGTCAAATATTAAATTGAATGAAAAACTGTTGAGAACTTGGAAACTTTGTAATTTTGCCTCTTCAATAGAATCTACATGTTGAATATCAAATCTGCATAATTTGAAATTTATACAATTTAACTCTGGCCTCGAAATTTTTTGACCAAGGCCATGCATAATGTGTCATCTTTAATTTGGATACATATATTTTGAGATGATAAAATTAGGCCTATTTTTGTTTCTGAACTATTCGTTTGTTTACGCTGGTAGCCTGTCCATTGGTGTTTCCTGAAATAAAGGACATTACTAAAGAATGTGGAGAGGTAACGAGTAATCAGACATCCTGCTGCAATGCAATGGATAGTTACTTGTCGCGCTTGCAACAGCAGAGCTTCATTACAAATCTCCAAGCTTTAAATTGTGCTACATTGCTTGGCAAGAAGTTGCAAGAAGCTAATATTACTAGCAATGTTTTTGACCTTTGCCATGTAAATCTCAAGGATTTTTCTCTTCAAGGTTAGCGCCTTTTCTGCATCTTTTCATCCTGCAATGATTTTCTCTTGGTATTGTTTATATTATTGACATTGTTTTGGTGTTCAATTTGTTCTTACTGCTGCGCAACCCTGGATTTCATTCACCACATGCTGATCAACAGTCGATGCTAAAGGTAATGAATTGAATTTTAGGTCTGTCTTTGTATCAACTAGATACTTTATTATATATTCCCAACAGCTTCTCTATATTGACCCCATGAAATGGCACCCCATAATCTACTTATATTTTTTCACTTAAAAGAGAAGACAAATGCAAGTACATTGATATATCTGATAGGATCTAGATTACTTGTTTTATCTTGATCCTCCAGAAGTATGGGACACACTTGATCAATCTGGAGTTGGTTTTTTTGACATGTTGAACTTTTTAATCGAAAACATATGATTTATTGCTTATATACACTATATAGTGTGAGGCATGTAGTTTAATATCGTCGTTTTTAATTGGGTACAACATTGTTTAGCACATGGAATGCATGATATGACACTCTTAGCTAGGAAAAGCAACATGAATGAATGATGCTTCTCTGATTTCTTTAGTATTTCTTTCTGCTCAATAGTTGAATGATATTTATGTCTAATGAGAATTGCAATTGTTGAGTAGAAACTTCTCATTTCACTGTCATTCATTCTCATGTTCGACTGAATTTTTTTGGTTTTAATTTACTGTAGAATCGGGATGCCTCTTGCCCAGCTTGCCTACAGATTTAACATATGACCAGAGTTCAGGAATTGGCTTCATTTGTGATCTTAATGATAATGTGGCAGCTCCTTGGTCCTCAGCATATTCTGGTGCTGCTTCTACCTGCAACAAGAGTATGTACAACTTTTCCCTTCACAAAACTTTTAAAAAGATAGAAATATAATTAGCTTTCTTTACAATTGCAAAAATCTTAGAACTTCCATTTTCCTTTCCTTCTGATTATCCATTTGTCAAACAACAAAATGATTTTGCAGCTGTTGCACTTCCAGAACTTCCCAAGGCAACATCCTCTCAGTTCAGTATAGGTATGGGTTAATAGCTAGAGCCTTGTATTCTCTAAATAAATTAGTTGTTACTACCTCTTTTCTTTTTGGCCTTAGGCATCCCAATATCCTGAAACTCACTGACTCGATTAATTCGGATTCACCCCGGGTAGAATTAGAATGTCACTAATCTATTCTGTTTCTTTTGGTGTCATAAATTTTCTAATGAAGAAAGTTATTTCCTTCAAATTTATTAGTATCTGACAATATTTAACTAAACGGGATATCTAAATCTACAAACTTTTATTGCATTTCAGGAGTCAGCATCAAAGATATGGTGTATACCCTGATATTTGCTTTATCAATGGTCTTCCAGTTGCTCATCTAACTCTTCTGGATTACTTGAATTTTCATCACAAGAAATATGCTATACCGTATATTTATATACGATTCTATCTGGATTTTCAGAAAGAAAATGTTAGCACAAGTAGCTCAAATTTGCTGCATTTACAGCATCATTTATCTATCATTCATTATTCTCTTTTTCTTTTTCTTTTGTTTGTCGCAATAAAAATTGTACAGAGAAACTTGTTACGGTATATACTATTAACCATGCATTTAGATATAGTATATTCTAATAATTGTCATGGTTAAAAGCCTAAGTGAGAGATTGTTGGGATATATACTATTAACCATGGATTTTGGTTTGGATATAGCATTTATTATGGAACAATTGTTTATTCCATTTTAATAAAGTTTTAAATAGATCATATATTTGTTTGTCTTTTTTATTTATATAGTAGATGATATAGTGTATAGAGTTTAACTTATACACGGAAGATTAAATCATCGGTTCTTATAAGTATAAAGATCATGTTCACAATCTAATGATGGAATTGGACAAACCATCACTACTAGAAATTCGGCAAAAACCGACCAAGGTCGACCGACCAGCTTTGGCCGGTCGAAAAACCGGCCAAAAAACCGACCAAAGTTGGTCGGTTTTTCAAAATATTTTATTTTTTAATTTGTTTTACGAAACCGACCAACTTTGGTCTGTTTTCTTTAGCGCAAAAATGCGAAAAACTATTTTTGAGTCACGCGAAATTTATTTTTCAAGAAACCGACCAACTTTGGTCGGTTTTTCAATTAAAATAAATAAAAATTAATATTAAAAAAATCGACCAAAGTTGATCGGTTAATTCGGCCGGTCATTTCAAAAAAATCGACCAACTTTGGTCGGTAATTTTATTTTTTAATAAAACCGATCAACTTTGATCGGTTATTTTCGTGCTAAAATACAATTAAAGAGTATAAATCAAATAAAAGATAATCTTAAAACAAAAAGCACCAATGGTCTAGTGGTAGAATGATATCCTGCCACAGTACAGACCCCGGTTCGATTCCTAGATGGTGAATCTTTTGATTACATAATTAAAAAATCGACCAACTTTGGTCGGTTTTTTTTGCAATATTTATTTTTTGAATTTAATTGATCGACCAAAGTTGGTCGGTAATTTCCGACTAACTTTGGTCGGTATACCTTTCCGACCCCTAAAATACCGTCCACACGTAAATGGTCGCGTTTTGGACGGTTATTGGCCATTACCGACCAAAGTTGGTCGATTTGTTTGGTCGATTTTTTCCGAATTTCTAGTAGTGCATCAGGAATGATTGTAGTACAAGATTAAATATAATTTATCTTGATTATGGGAATGATTTAATTCCGACTTCTTGTACTAATATATTTTGTATGTATTGAACGGACCAAGTAGAGATAAGAATTTTATACTGACTTAATAAAATAACTTCTCTAGCCACTAAACATACTTATACTTTTAATCTTGCTATAATTATTATTAATTGTGTATATTATTTATTGTTTTGATTTATTAAAAGGCGAGATTCTTTTGCAGGTCAATATGCCTGGTAAATTGGACAATGATGATATATATTGACGAAGTAATAGTTAGTTGAAGGAGTCCATGTCTCGATCTAGAGATTGATGATACACATTTATGAAAGCTTATAAGTTTTCATGTGTAAACCCTGCAGGTGGATTTTGTATCCGTCACATGAAATAAGTTAAGCGAAAGTCTAAAGGAAATAATCAATGAATTAAATTGTTAGTAATTTAATTTATTTGATTAGTATTTGAATCTTAACATGGGGAGTTAAATAAGGTTTAATGGAAGAATTTTAAAATTGAACTGATGAGTGCAGTTACGAATTTTTAGTAGAATAATTCATAATTTATTATGGTAGTATTAATTCGGATATTTCGAATTAAGTCCATAATAGGAAGCCTTGTTAATTAAATACTGCGGTCCCTACTGTACCCGAATAATTAGGAATTAAATGGAATCATATTTCTTGGTGTAAAATGAAGACCCGACATGTTTAGAAAAAGGCTTTAAACCCTAAAACATGTGGCTATATTAAGATGTCTTATTCCATAAGGAGGCGATGGTTTTTACTACATGGTTTTCCCAAGAGAAATTCGCTCACACGAATTTCGTTAATTACGGGCATTATTCAGGTTACACAGCAAAAGACTGTGGAACTGGAGGATGATCTCGTGGACGATTTTCGCTCTTACTTGAATGCTGTTTTCGCGATCGCGATCACGCTTCAAGAGATAAGTATCGATTTTATGTTTGATTAAAATTTATGATTATGTATTGTCTATATTACATGCAAGTGATCCGGGTTATTTTCTTTCGTTGTTCATACATGTTTCCAATCAAAACTTTGGATAGGCGATGATTGTATATAGTTATATACCATATACGTGGTTTATTATGAGTTTAATCTGTTACTTTTGTAGTATTGTTGATCAGTAAACTAAAACTCTTTTTTCAGTTGACCGTTTCCATAACAGTGACAAAGTTCTGGTTTATAGACCAAAAGAATTAGAGAATTATTTGGTAATTTTTACTAGCTCGTTGGCCAGCTGCTCGTCAATTCAGACAACTTTTTGATCAGTTGAAGGAAAAATCATTACACCAGCAGCCAAAAGCCAATGCCATAATTTGGAAGGTGAAAATAGTACGGGCTAGCCAGTTTTTAGATTGGTAATTTAAAAATAGTCAGCGTTTGCAAAGTCATTGAAAAATAACCATTATTTTTGCCGAAACACTAAAAGTTCCATCATAATATGCTGGATTATGAAGCTCCTGCATGTAAACTTCCATCATATTATGTTGGAACTCCAGCACATGGAAAGTTTCAGCATAATATGCTGGATTATGGAGCTCCTGCGTATAAACTTTCAGCATATTATGTTGGAACTCCAGCACATGGAAAGTTTCAGCATAATATGCTGGATTATGGAGCTCCTGCGTATAAACTTTCAGCATATTATGTTGGAATTCCAGCACATTGTGAAATTCTAGCACATTATGCTGGAGTCTCATATGTTAAAAATTCGAGCTCCAGCATATTATGCTGGAATTTTTCCGTACTTTTAATGGTGTTTTTGTTTAAATTTTATTTTTAACATAAAAAATGGCTAAATTTCGATTACTTTTGAAACTATGACTATTTTTCAATTACCAGTTGTAAATCTGACTATTTCTGATTTTTTTCCCCATTAGGAAGTTAACTTAATAAAATGTCAAACATTATTTTCACTACTTATTACTTACGATTATCAGAAAAAATACAACACACCCTTATTTCAGCATCTCATCACATCCCTATTAGATTCTACCAGCTTTAGGCATACAATTCTTTTTTTAAGTAAATATTTTATTGTTTACCCTTAAAATTGAATAACAATTAAACTTATAATGAGGTTCTAAGGATACGTGATTTCACTTAATACCAATAAATAAATATGAAGATTAATGACAGAAATGAACTATAAAGTAAAGTGAACTGGTGTTGAAATGGAATTCGACCCTCGAGCTAGGATGCCCTCGAATTAATTGATACCAAAACAGTTAAGAATAAAGCAAGTTGATGAACAAGATAGTATAAGTTAAAGAGAGAGAGTTATATTGGCTTTTTTATGCGAGAACAATGTGTCTTACAAATGGTTAATACTCCTCTTTATATAGTAGAGGAGTTCTACTTATGGTATAACTCTAATTACAGAAGAAAATCTCATAATTAGCTAATTAACCGTTTCTTATTTGATTCGTTCCGAGATTTATACCATAATCCTCGACTAGTCACTGAGGTTTATGCCGTGATCCTCGACCAGTCACGGATATCTCGTCTTTCTGTTATTGTGCTATCTTCGATCTTGCTAGATATCTGTCTCGTTTGGCTTCGATCGCTACTAGCCTCGATCTCGACAGGTACCTCGGTTCTGAACTTAGTACTTAGTCCTCGTGATTTAGTCTGTTCCGTTACGAGGCCGTCCTTCGATGCAATTCTCCCGGTCTCGGTCAAATAATAAAATCGGATGGGCCCGTTTTAACCGTATACAGATAGTCCCCTCGTTTTTTTGGAGTGTAATGACAAGAAACAAATTAAGCCTTCGATTTTTTTACCTCGACCTGTCATGACGTCATCCTCGTGACGTAAGCAATGGAAGTGAATGAAATGTCCCGTCTGTACAGTTACCAAGGCATTAAACGCACGTCGGTCGATGGTTCGCCACCACCAATTTTGAACCATCGTTGTGAAATCTATAAATAGCTCCTCTCTTCACCATTTCGAACTTTTACTTTCAAATTTCCAATCTCCAAAGCTTTTTACATCTTCTAAGTTTTTCATCTGCAAATCTACGATTCTTACTGCTAACCTCTTCTTAGAATACCAAATCTTATCATCTCCATCTATTTTTAACTTCAAGTCCAAATGGCGAAAACGTCAAAAACTGTTCCTCAAAAGGAAAACGCTTCTTCATTGCGGCCGGCCGGCGACAAAACACCGGTGGAGCCGCGCCCTGAGGAGTGTGTTCCCGGGGGGTACGTCCTCACTTCCGACTTTAAAATTGATAAAGCCTCGTCAATTCCTGGTTGATGCGAGCCAATGTCGAGGTATATATGCTCGATAACCGAGGGATACCTTAAGTAGGTAAATAAAGATTGCAACTAGGAGGGCAAAGAAGTGGTGATCCCGACCCCCGAAGAGGACATCACCACCCATGTTGAAGGGTTTCTAAGTGTTTACACTTACCCTTTCACGCCGGGCCCCCTCGACCCTGTCGTCGTTGATTTTTGCCGTCAATACCAAATAACCCTAGGCCAAGTCCATCCTTCCTTTTGGCGAATTGTTATTCTGCTCCGATTCTTCGTGAGCAAAGTCGAGGGGATGTCTTTCACCCTCGACCACCTCATCAGGTTGTACAGC